CGGTTTGCGATTTCAATGTAAACCAATGGGGAATGATCAAATAGGTGAAAACTGACATTCTTGCAGTAAATTAAGCCTCTTTGAGACCTTTTGCGATTTCAATGTAAAACAATGGGGAATGATGAAATAGTTGAAAACTGACATTCTTGCAGTTACTTGAGTCTTTTTGAGAACGTTTGCGATTTCAATGTAAACCAATGGGGAATGATCAAATAGGTGAAAACTGACATTCTTACAGTAACTTGAGTCTTTTCAATGTAAACCAATGGGGAATGATCAAATAGGTGAAAACTGACATTCTTGCAGTTACTTGACTCTTTTTGAGACGGTTTGCGATTTCAATGTAAACCAATGGGGAATGATCAAACAGGTGAAAACTGACTTCTTGCAGTAACTTGAGTCTTTTTGAGACGGTTTGCCATTTCAATGTAAACCAATGGGGAATGATCAAATAGGTGAAAACTGACATTCTTGCAGTTACGTGAGTCTTTTTGAGACGGTTTGCGATTTCAATGTAAACCAATGGGGAATGATCAAATAGGTGAAAACTGACATTCTTGAAGTAACGAGTTTTTGAGACCGTTTGCAATTTCAATGTAAAACAATGGGGAATGATCAAATAGGTGAAAACACATTCTTGCAGTTAATTGAGCCTTTTTGAGACGGTTTGCGATTTCAATGTAAACCAACGGGGAATGATCAAATAGGTGAAAACTGACATTCTTGCAGTTACTTGAGTTTTTGAGACGGTTTGCGATTTCAATGTAAACCAATGGGGAATGATCAAACAGGTGAAAACTGACTTCTTGCAGTAACTTGAACCTTTTTGAGACGGTTTGCAATTTCAATGTAAACCAATGGGGAATGATCAAAAAGGTGAAAACTGACATTCTTGCAGTAACTTGAGTCTTTTTGAGACCGTTTGCGATTTCAATGTAACCCAATGGGGAATGATCAAATAGGTGAAAACTGACATTCTTGCAGTTTGAGTCTTTTTGAGACGGCTTGCGATTTCAATGTAAACCAATGGGGAATGATCAAATAGGTGAAAACTGACATTCTTGCAGTTACGTGAGTATTTTTGAGACGGTTTGCGATTCCAATGTAAACCAGTGGGGAATGATCAAACAGGTGAAAACTGACATTCTTGCAGTAACGAGTCTTTTTGAGACGGTTTGCGATTTCAATGTAAACCAATGGGGAACGATCAAAAAGGTGAAAAATGACATTCTTGCAGTAATTTGAGTCTTTTTGAGACCGTTTGCGATTTCAATGTAAACGAATGGGGAATGATCAAATAGGTGAAAACTGGCATTCTTGCAGTAATTTGAGTCTTTTTGAGACGGCTTGCGATTTCAATGTAAACCAATGGGGAATGATCAAATAGGTGAAAACTGTCTTGCAGTAACTTGAGTCTTTTTGAGACGGTTTGCGATTTCAATGTAAACCAATGGGGAATGATCAAATAGGTGAAAACTGACATTCTTGCAGTAACTTGTCTTTTTGAGACCGTTTGTGATTTCAATGTAAACCAATGGGGAATGATCAAATAGGTGAAAACTTACATTCTTGCAGTAACTTGAGTCTTTTTGAGACGGCTTGCGATTTCAATGTAAACCAATGGGGAATGATCAAATAGGTGAAAACTGACATTCTTGCAGTAACTTGAGTCTTTTTGAGACGCTTTGCGATTTCAATGTAAACCAAAGGGAATGATCAAATAGGTGAAAACTGACATTCTTGCAGTTACGTGAGTCTTTTTGAGACGGTTTGCGATTTCAGTGTAAACCAATGGGGAATGAACAAATAGGTGAAAACTGACATTCTTGCAGTTACGTGAGTCTTTTTGAGACGGTTTGCGATTTCAATGTAAACCAATGGGGAATGATCAAATAGGTGAAAACTTACATTCTTGCAGTAACTTGAGTCTTTTTGAGACGGCTTGCGATTTCAATGTAAACCAATGGGGAATGATCAAATAGGTGAAAACTGACATTCTTGTTCTTTTGTCACCTGGCAGATCTTTTCTCTTAAATCCTTCTTTTAAGGTTGTTATTTGATCTGCCATACCCGCTGCCTCTACAATTGTGGATGGCTTGCGATCCTGAATCACCCAACGAATATCATAAGGCACTAGTTGGAAAAACTGCTCCAGCTTCAAAAGTTCCCTCAGCTGTTGATAATCTTCCACCTCAGATGTCCTTATCCAACTATCGAACAGTTGAGACAATCTTGAGGCCACCTGACCAAAACTTTGAGTTTTATCTTTCTTTAATGTCCTGAACTTAAATCTATAATATTCAGGAGTCAATCTAAATTCTTGTTGAATCTGTTTCTTAAACAGATCATAGTCTCCATATGAATCCTCAGACATCTGTCCATAAATCTGCAAAAGTTTCCCACTTATCTGAGGCCTTAGGTATGTCATCCATTTTTCCTTAGCCACCCCAAAATCTCGACAACATCTCTCAAAAGATATTAGGAATTTCTCTGGGCCATCGTCTTTGGTAAATTTTGGGAATTTTTCTTCAAATCTGGGGTATCTCCTCCAGATCTCCCTTCCTGGATATCCCTGGATGTTTGAGACAAAGCCAATCTTTGTTTCTCTAGCTCAAACTCCATTCTCTTCCATTCTAACTCCTGTTCCAATTCTCTCACTCTCTGTCTTTCTTCAAACTCTCTCTGTTTTTCCTCCATCTCCAATCGTTTCATCTCTAGTTTATACTTACAAGCCATTTCTGAGAAAGGCATCGGCTCGGTCTCTGTCTCAGAGCTCGAACTTTCCTCTTGGTCTACCTCTCTTTCCTCAGCCAGCTTTCTCTGTCGCCTGGTAGCCATCTTTCAGCAACTTTTACCTCACAACTTAT